AGTTGGGACAAGTAGCAATAAGTGACTGGAAAAAGGAAATTGAGCATATAACGAACAGCTGGAAGACCAATCAACACTAATTAGGTCAATTGACAACATGATTGGGTATAAAAAGAGCTTTGCAGAGTGTCAGTGTCTCTCAGAAGCCAAGATGGTAAGAGGATCACCAATTCCACCATTGTTGCGCCGAAAGATAGTGCAGCAATACCAAAATGGTGTTACCCAGCGTAAAATAGCAAAGACTTTTAAGTTACCATCATCAACCGTGCATAACATCATCAAAAGATTCAGAGAATCTGGAACAATCGCTGTGCGTAAGGGTCAAGGCCGTAAACTCTACTGGATGCTCATGATCTCCGGGCCCTTAAACATCACTGCACCTCAAACAGGAATGCCACTGTCAAGGAAATAACAGAATGGGCTCAGGAATACTTCCAGAAAGCATTGTCAGTTAACACAATTCACCGTGCCATCCGCCGTTGCCAGCTGAAACTCTACAGTGCAAAGAGGAAGCCATTTCTAAGCAAGCTCCACAAGCTCAGACGTTTGCACTGGGCCAGGGGTCATTTAAAATGGAGTGTGGCAAAATGGAAGACTGTTCTGTGGTCAGATGAGTCACAATTTGAAGTTCTTTATGGAACACTGGGACGCCATGTCATCCGGACCAGAGAGGACAAGGATAGCCCAAGTTGTTATCAACGCTCCGTTCAGAAGCCTGCATCACTGATGGTATGGGGTTGCATGAGTGCTTGTGGCATGGGCAGCTTGCATGTCTGGAAAGGCACCATTAATGCAGAGAACTATGTTCAGGTTCTAGAACAACATATGCTCCCATCTAGACGTCATCTCTTTCAGGGAAGACCCTGCATTTTTCAACACGATAATGCCAGACCACATTCTGCAGCAATCACAACATCATGGCTACGTAGGAGAAGGATCCAGGTACTGAAATGGCCAGCCTGCAGTCCAGATCTTTCACCTATAGAGAACATTTGGCGCATCATAAAGAGGAAGGTGCGACAAAGAAGGCCCAAGACGATTGAACAGTTAGAGGCCTGTATTAGACATGAATGGGAGAGCATTCCTATTTCTAAACTTGAGAAACTGGTCTCCTCTGTCCCCAGACGTCTGTTGAGTGTTGTAAGAAGAAGGGGGGATGCCACACAGTGGTAAAAATGGACTTGTCCCAACTTTTTTGGGGATTTGTTGACGCCATGAAATTTGGAAACAACAGATTTTTCCCTTAAAATGATACATTCTCTCAGCTTAAACTTTGATCTGTGATTTGTGTTCTATTCTGAATAAAATATTAGATGTTGGCACCTCCACATCATTGCATTCAGTTTTTATTCACAATTTGTTTAGTGTCCCAACTTTTTTGGAATCCGGTTTGTATCTTTCTCCTCTACGTCACGTCCAAGCTGTGAAGCATAAACGATGACAACATTTAGCATTTGACATTCTACATCTATCTTTAGACACATCACAATATCTGACACTCTTTTCACCTCTACTACATTCTTTGCCAACTCCCCCTTCAGGTCCACCCCTACTCCATTTCTCTTTCTATCCACAGACACCATGGTAGAACAGTCTAAAACCTGCCCCAGTGCTTCGAGTCTTGCTGCCCTTCCACTTGGTCTTTTGGACACATAAAACATCTTCCCTTCCTTGTCCTGATGCATGCTCAATAATCCAGGTAGATAAATCTAACAAGGTTGAGTCAGGTCCTCTGGATGAATTCTTCTTTTTTAAAATGTTTTGTCTTTTATCCAAAAGACTTCGTAAGACTTTGCAAAGACTGAGTTTGCTTGCAGCTCATCAGACTGAAGAAGTATTTTGGATAAAAGATGAAATGTTTCCACAAAGAAGAATCCGTCCAGAGGACCTGACTTAACCTTGTTAGATCTACCTTCCTTCTCTGCATCATGTCAACCAGCTCTCTACCTTTGCTTGTCATTGTCCCCACATTTACAGTTGCCACCATCAGTCCTACATTCTTGACTTTCCTCTTCTCCCTCTGTCTCCTGACACATCTCCCTCCTCGTAGTCCTCAACTCCAACAGTTAATGATAATCAAAATTTGTTTCACATTTTAAATATTACAAAACCTGGATAAAAAAGTTCTGTTTGAAATTTTACATTGATAAGCTTTGTGCTTTGTTGGACAGAACACAACAGAATACTTTGACCCAAGTGCATTACCTTTAATGTTTTATGGCATCACTCATTGGAAGTGAGAAGCAATGAAAGTCATTGTTGAAGACATTGCTTCAACAAGTGACAGTTTAATAGTTTAGAAAATTATCTGTTTATCAACCTGTCACAGCATTATACTATTAAAAGTAAGCTGTTCAAAGAAGTCATGGAATGATACGATGGGTATCTTCACAAATCACTCACAAGCTCAGTTACACCATGCTTATAAGTAAATCCACAATCAGACTATAAGACTTGAGCTTTGTTTTTCTAGGTGGATGAAATATCTCTGTAAGGATTGACATTTTTCCATTTCTTTCCTTTGTGTTTTTCTTGGAAGATGCAAACGGACACAAAGAAATCATGCCATAGACACTTGCACTCCCTGCACCCTTTTCGACACCAGAAACACTTGGTTGTTGCTTCACAGCACCTGTCAAATGAGTCCTGGAGTCAGGTTTAGCATGACAGACGTGGCCTCGTATGGTGCCCCGTCATATTCCACACAGCCTCAGAGAAGCTGCCATGCCTCTCACCCATTACAACACATGCTTGCTAGACAGTCGATATAAAACGGGAATTAGGAGGCACAGAAGAGAAGTAAACACGTCTTTATTAGTCTGGGTGTAGTTTTGCAGACTACCATAAACTGCACTTAACACCTCTGGACTTCACAGTTATTTTTGGAAGCTGCATAAAATACATGAAGAGCAGCATGAAACTGTAACAACTATTTTATAGCACATAGAAAAAAATGAGATCAAGATCTAAATCCACATCAAAAGTTAATTACTTTAGGTTGGACTTGTTCCTGCCTCTAGAAAGAGTTTAATGCTAAATCAATCAATTAATCAATCACATAAGATTCCAGTCAGAGATGAATATATATCATTCCAATTCCAGGTATTAAGTGAACTGAAATTGAACATATCTGGTTACAAATATGTAAATAAGTTGGTCATGGAAAAAAGAACTATGTAAAAAATCACATATGACACTTGCATGTAACTTTTTCCCAGAAATAAAATGTAAGCTCAGCATTTAGAACAGGGGTCTGCAACCTTTAGAATCAAAAGATACATTTTTACACCTTCATTCACTAAATTCAATGTGTCCAGAGCTGCAGCAACCTGCTACAACTGTTATCAACTGGTGGCCCATGGGCCACTTTAAGTTTGTTGGAGGAGACTTTTGTGGCCAGTAGGGGTGACAATATAAAGCTAAAAATATCTAATGATTTTTAACATTTATTGATATTATTACAATTTAAGACAAATGAAAAGACAAGATTCTTGTAAAGAGGTAGGGAAAGGTTTTTGAAATAAAAAACAAAAACTACGAGCTATGCAGACCTTTCTATATATATATATTTTTTTTTTTTTTTTAATTGTGGAAAAATAATTAAATATAGAAATAAAGCCAAAAGCTAAAGTGAGTATTTGCCAAAGAAATTACGTGAAAACTGCTAAAACTAGTACTTTTTTTGTTGTTTGTATAACAACCAATAAACTTCAGTTTTATGTTACTTTTATAATAATAATAATAATAATAATTTTATTTTAAAAGCGCCTTTCATGACACCCAAGGACACTTTTAGTCTAAGCTTGATTGCAGACCCTTGATTTAGAACTACTGGACTGGATTTGATTTTACATCTGCATTTCTTATTAAGTTGGAATATGTTAAAGCTGCTCAAATACACAAACATTAGAACATCTGAGCTGACAAATCTATTTATCTGACTCTTAACTGCTTTTTTAATATACAAGACTATTTAGCGTTAACATGTTTTTTGCCATTTTTCTTTATCTATGCCAATATTTGTGTGAATAGAAAATTTGTATATTAAATATATATTATGTTAAAATATATTTGAACCTTTTTCAAAGTGTCCCCATGATGCAATTTATCCCATAAAGTAAAAATGTAAAAATATTCCATTACACTTATAGAAAAAAAGTGATTGTAATTCACTGATTCATAAAGCACACAAAGATCAAGACCACAAACTACATAAGTTGAAAAACTCAAAAATTTAGAAGTGAAAGCAGAAAAGTGTAGACATTTAAAAAATAAATAAATAAATAAATAAATAAATAAATAAATAAATAAATAAATAAATAAATAAATTTGTACAAAGAACACTAAGTGTGCAAACAATAAGTGCATATGGCTTAATGTCATTTGATGCAAAAATTAAATCTTTCAGTGTTTGCCTTCCCTGACCAATGTGTTTATATCACTGCACAAAGACAGTTCAATGTTTCACAAAAGAAAAGTTTCATGATCATTTTTATGGCTTTGCACAAGTACCGTACTTCAGTCCAGCCCATGAGCACATTATTGTCTAGAATTGTTAAAATAACTTATTTTACCATACCTGTATCTTTAATTATGTTACACAATTAATAAACTCAATGACGTTAATTTGTTCAACAAGCAGTAGAAATAAAGATACATTGTTATGGTAAAATAAGTTATTCAAACAATTACAAATAATTATAAACAAGGACTTAGTATCAAAGAAAATAAGTAGGCACATACACATTGCACTCATGTCTAAGAGGCACTTGAGACACACATATGACAGGACGCTAACAGGAGGGGGGAATGAAATCAGGCTGAATACATGCAGCAGGAAGGGGATGTACATGCAGTCAAGAAAGGCTCTGGTGTCTGGCTATTTTCAGGTCTCCCTTTCTTACGGGCCAGCAACAGTTGAAACCAGACAAGCATCCGCATAAAAACACTTCCATGTGCCTGAATACATGCACATGTGCACAGAGCAGCTTCACACTTACATGGAACTCCGTGGTGTTGAGAATGTGACGTCCATCTGGACTCCAGCGAGAAGAGACCAGTCCGATCGAGCCCTCGTCAATCTTGCAGTGCCAGTCCGGCTGTTCGAGTGACCACACCTGGAGAGAAACAACAAAAGAACACGGGACGGAAAATGACCAGCAATTACTGTTGACATCTCATGCACAATTTGTAATTTCCAAAATTTTATTTTAAATATTGAGACATTTAAAAATCAGAAATCATGAAAGACTGGCACTGCATACCCACTCAAAGGTAAGACACTTGCACTATGAGTATGACACTAATGCTGCAAATTCTACATTAATGTAAGAGATATACTCACCTTCTAAATGTTCTGGGATGGGAAACTTTTTTCTATTTTTTATAGTACAACAGTATAACGACCACAACTTTTAATTTAAAGTTTTAAAGGAACTTTGCTAAACTTTCACAAACTCTAGATGAATTTCAAAATAAATCCTGTAAAAAGGAAATTTTCCATATTAATTTATTTATTTAAATTAGGACAATGCATATTAATCAACATGTCAGCAGTAAGCATCAATGTAAATATGCAGAAGTTAGCACAATAGCTAACTTTTCATGTGTTGTCCTAAGGCAGGTAAGAACAAACATCCCACAAAACAAAGAGCAGAGAATAATACAAACATCACCTATATAACACATAACACAACATGAAATTACAATAAAGATATGATGCCATAAGAAAATAGACAAAGTAATCTACACATGAGTGCACCTCTGGTTAGTTTTCAACCAAAGTTTCAGAGAGTTTTTAAAGCTGGAGTAGGTGCCACAGTTCCTGATGGAAACTGGCAGTGTGCTCCACGACTTCGTGCCTCTGATGGACACCACCATTTGGCCAAATTTAGTCCTGCGCCGCTGTACATCACAATCTCCTCTGGTCAGTGCTCTTGTGTTTATTGTACTTGTTTTTTTTTACTTATAAAATACATTAAAGGAGAAGGAGCAAGTCCATGTCATTTTTGTGTTTGATTAAATAAAATCTAATCAACTGTGACAAATTCTGATCGTTGATCTGTATAAAAAGTTTAGTGGAAGGGTTTTTGTGCAAATTAAAAACAGAAATCACTTCGTTATCAATCAGTAATCCATTTATAATAGATAATCTATATAAAAAGGCTTTTCTAAATATAAGCAAAAACAATAAATAAATAATAAAACAATTACAAGAATTAAATTAGCAGTCTTTAATCCCATTAAAATGATAACTCAGATAACCGCTTTTGTCTTCTCACCTACCTGTACAAGGCCCCTCTTGTACATTGCGCAGAGTACAAATAGAGAGTCAGAGGACCAGTCCATGTGGGATATTTGGTCCAAACAAGTGTAGAGCTGCAGAATCTGCAAGGTGCTCACATCTCGCACCACTAGCCGGTATTGTACACAGGTAGCCTGAGGAGCACATTTAAAGAACAAAATCAGAAAAAAAATGAAGCCACTAACCATATATAAATAAGTAAATTCTCCTACATTACATAAAATTCAAATTCAAATACTTGCCAAGTACTTTCCATTTGGGGAAACTTTACAAAGCTGGTTGGATTGCTTAAAGACCTCAGAGAAGTTCATCTTGCATTCACAAGTGTTCCTGCACAGAAAAAGTGTGCAGTTATTGTCACACAACAAAGCAAATACACAAGTGTACATCTAAAAGTGTACATCTATCTAAACAAATTCTGTGAACAAGTGTCATGTTCATACTCAGTATGCTAAAGATACTATTATGTATACTTCCAGTGTATCGCTTAACGCTGCACCTTCCACTGCAATTTAGTTTAATGGTGAATTTGTTGAGGTGGTGCATCAATATAAATATCAGGGAACTGTTCCTGATGACAAACTGACTTCTGACGTACACGTGAGCTCTTTGTAGTATGGCCAACCAGAGAATATATTGTTATCGAAAGCTCTGTGGTTTTAATGTTGATTTTATTTTTATGAGAATGTTTTATTCGTGTTTTATCTAGTCGCTTTTAACTTTTACCTTTATCTGCTGGTTTGAAATTTTAACATGTAAAAACAGGAACAAACATTTGGGGATTGTCAGGATGTGCAGCAAAATTGATGGCATAGCCCTTCAGAACCTCACTGACACAAGTGAGGTCAGTGAAAAAGGCCTGGTTGATTCTGGTGATCCTGATCACCACTCTATGTTGAGTTCAGGTTCAGGTTGCATCCATCTGGATGCAGGTATTTATTGCCAAGATGTGGAATGACTAGACAGAAAAACTCATTTATCTGTAGCGATCAGGCTTCTCAATGAGCAGTTGTGATTTCTGCACTGTTATTTTAGTGTCTTAATGTCTTGTCAAATTTAGATGTTTTATGTGTCTACTGACAATGAAACAAATTGTCCCTTTAACTTAAATGAGTTTAAATTACATCAAGCATACGTTTTCTGATCTGCATTTACCATTGACACACTCAAAACAAAATGAATGCTCTTTAACAGAAACCTCCCACAAACTGACTGCACTCTGAAAACCCTCTCCTTGGATGGCACCAAGATCCAATTTGTCAGCACAGTAGTTACAAATACCTTAGAATTTGGCTTGACTCTTCATTCACATATAAAATTCCAATCATCGCTCTACTCTCCTAAGTCAAATCCAGAATAGGATTCTCCTTCTGAAATAAATTTTCACTAACTTAACCTGCTAAACATCTTTTGGTAAATGACAGTCCTTCCTTTTCCAAGATTCAGCTACGGCGGCATCATCTACAGAACTGCTTCCAAAACTCTCCTACACAAACTGGACATCCTTTACCACACAGACATTTAATATGTCACAGAAGCATCCTTCAGCAGTCATCACTGCACTCTGTATTCCCTGGTGAACTCTCTCTATTCACTCCCACAGACAAACAAACTGGTTTCTGCTGATCTATAAAACCATAACTGGTAAAACCCCATCCTACCTCTGCTCATTACACAACGCTCATAGCAACATTCATACTCTCCGCTCGAGCAGCTATGCATCCATAAAGCACACGCTTGCTTTGGCCATTCATTTCGGTTTTCTGCTGTGAATGATTGGAACCATTTACAACAAACACTAAAACTCTTTTTTTTAAAATCCCATTTGTATCTTTTAAAAGCTTAATGAGAGCATTACTTCATGACCGTTGCACATGCTTTTAGTGATCACCTTTTCAATTTCTGATGTTACATTCTTGTACCATGAACCTGCGCTGGCTCCAACAATAAATGATATGCATACATGGTCTGTACAATTTGATGTTTGGCTGTCAGCTGTTTGTATGTTGTCCTTCTGCTGTTTTACCACCTGTGTACTTGCTGCTTCATAGCCAAGTCGTCACTGAAAATGAGAATTTGTTCTTCACTGACTAACCTGGTTGTTAGTCAGTCATATATTCATTTAGACAAATATGTTGTAGTTCTCAGATTTACCGCGTGATGGAGAAATTGGTCCAACAAAGAAATACGTTTACCCCAGAGGCAGATTGAAAACACAGATAAAATATTTCCACTCATAAAAAACGAAATAATAATAATAATAAAAAAAAAAGAAACTATGGTAACGCGTAAACCTGTAACAGACTCCTTGTCAACAAGTCAGCAACAAAAAAAAAACATCCTTTAGCCTAAAGGCAGCCTTGGCTAGTAGAAAACAACTCGCATAAAACGATGTGAATATCTTGGACCTTGTTTTACTTGTTTATTGGTTGTTAATTTTCATATTCCAGGCCTAAGTAATAAGGGAGAGGTCAAAAACGCACACAAGCCGCAAGTAAACTTTTGAACTAGTAGCCGGGGCTCGTTCGGCTAGCATACACGGCTAATATCAAGTAACCAAACCGTCAAAACTATTCCAAATTTTTGGCACCACTTACTTCTGACATCAACAACGTGACTTCATCTTAATAAAACAGAGATGCAAGAAGCTCTAAAAGCCATTTAGAAAAGTTAAATCTTCACATGACAGGCTAGTGTTCACACTGCGTTAATCCAACTGTTGTGTTTGTATGAACGTAAACCGACGTTCGAAGCTGTCCAATCGTCATCGTCCTAGACTTTGTTGCATTCTGGGTAATGTAGTTGATTGCTTTTTAGGTTCCACATCTGTGTAATAAGGCCTTTAAACGTTAAAAACAAGCCTAAGCGCAACGTTAGGATTGATTTTGCACTGAAAGTTTAATTAGTATTAAATTTAGAAACATTCCAGTGGATATAGAAGCTGGGTTACTAGTGTTCTGGACAATTCTTGTGTTAATTTCATTTTGTTTGTTTTATAGACCGCAGGGAAATCTTTTTACCATTTACACTAACGTGCTTTAAAGTCTAAATAAGAAAAATGCATCCAAAATGTGTTTGTTCTTTTAAGCAGAAAAGGTTTCCCGCTTGTGCTCGGTCAAACCGCGCTACTGCCTCTCTCCTGAGCGCAAAAAAAAAAAAAAAAAACTTCACCTCCTCCTGCGTCTCCTTCAGCAAAGCCATCGCTTCTCTGAAGAGCATGCAAATCAGTTTTTCTCCCGTTTCCGGTTATTATTTCTATTTTTATTCATTCTTTTTCTCTGAAAATCCGTGAACTTCCGCCACTCTTATCACATTTGGTCGATTTATAGTTTAGTTTTTGTTTTTTTCATGCTGCTTCTTTTTAATGGAGGGTCACTCTCTTGGCATGTTCGATAAACAGACAGGTGTTCGGCGCAACATCATTCCTGTGTGTTTGGCTTGGAATAAGAACAACCTTCAGGTAGGCGCGTTTCCTATTTATTATGAGACGAATTAATACTCATAAAGGCCTAAATGTTTGTTGAACTCTTTTATCAGCATCTCATGAGAACAAAATCAAGTAATTTACACTTCTAAATTTAGTTATATATTAAAATGGTCAAATCAGTTTATTTTGTTGCAAATAATCATGGCTTAAATAGCATTTCTTTAAAGTAAACTGATCAAATGTGGTTCTTTATTGTCATAACTGTAAAATAAACCAATTATGATTAAGGTTGTGAAGCCACACAAATTATGTCCATGTGGACCAGATTTAGTTGTGTTTTTTATTTCATTTTTCTCTTGACAAATGTGTTTAATTAAAAAAGAAAACCTGCTAAATATTTAAAACCACAGATAGTAAATAATAATTTTGGAACTGATACACGGTAGTTTAACCTATAACTTGATCATCTTTTTTTATAGCCTTCACGGACTACATTTAATTGTAAGCTGCTCTCGGAGGTTTTACATTTTTCTCAACCCTGACATGGTTTTCTGTCCTCTGTGAGATAATTCACCTGGGCCCAACACGGATCAAGTCTAAAACAATTTTAAAAATTAATTTATTCTCATTTGAGACTGACTTTCTTGCACGGTATGGCCGTGGGGAGTGCGTGTTGTCATGGGTGCTGTAACCCTGGAGCGAAGACGCAAATAGAAACAGGTGGATTTTGCAAGAGCGCAAGTTCAATAATAAAAGAAATAATAATATCCCAAATAAAATATTTGGGATATTTTTATAAGGAGCCAACAGAGGTCGAGTTTATAAATGATTTAAAAAAAATGTTACAGCAAAATAAACTAGTAATGTTTATAAAATGGACATTATGTCATTTAAACACATTATTATTAGTGTCTCGCTTTAATATGAAATAACTGACAGAAGATCCATTTTAAAACATATAATCAATGTGGTTCAATCAGATTATTTACAGCTTATTTTACATTTTAGTTTTTTTCACCGTGAAGTAAAAAAAAAAAATCTTTTTGTAACCACAAGAAAGAGCTTTTCATTATTGAAGTGCTAAATTGTCCTCTCTCATCTAATCTCTGCAGCGGATGCGGGATTAGCGGGAATGAAACGTTTGATTTAAATCCTTAAATTTAATTTGCAGAAGAGAATAAAATGAGCGTCCGTTGATGACGTCACTGTCTGTTTACTGGAGGCGCCGTATCTTTCATCGATTGAGAACAGAGCAAAGTGAACTGTTCTGTGCAGATAATCTTACAGTAAGTGAGCCGCAGATAGGACTGACTGTCACTTTTTGAAAGTTCGTGGAATTTGTTAAATCATTAAGGTTGTGCACCTTTTTTTTTTTTTTTTATTGGCTGCATGCGCTTCTTTCAAGTCACGCACCCACAGTTTTCCTCCCGCAGTCCTACAGAAGAGTAACTAAGGAGACGTGACGCTGAACGTGGCCTACAGAGAAACTTCCAAACGCTCGTGAGGATGTTTTAGCCGTGATGTCAGAGCTGTAAGCATCTCGGTGGTCTTTTTTTTTTTCTCGTTTGTTTGGTATATGGCTCAGACTATGAGGAGACGCTTCACCTCGGAATGATGATGATGATGATGATGATGATGAGTGAGGCAGGTCTGGGCATGCTCAGGCCTTCTGGTGCCATGTGCCACCTCGCTGGGGCTACATGAGTGTGATCACACCTGGATGTGTTTTGTGTGGTACTTGTTCTATTTTTAAAAAGAGCAGAAGTTTGCTTGGCCGTTGAAGCGACTCTTTGGTTCCTTACATTTCAGAGACCGTTTTGAATGACCATAAGCTTTTATAAATTTAAGTGATACTTAAAAGTCTTTGTGTTCTTTGCAGAGTGA